AGGGAAATTATTATAGTTATCCTTTCCTCAATCAAAGTATATTTTAAAATTAAAATGGCAGAGAAAACAATTTCCAAATAAAAATACTTTCAAGTTGAATAAACCTAGCGTTATGAAAAATATAATCTATTTTTATTCCTTTTTATTAGTTTGGATATCATTAGTTTATTATAAAATATGTACATAGAAATTATTTACATGATGAAAGATTTCAGAGCTTCAGTGGAATGATGCCATTTCAACAGTGACTTATTTCAGTGTACATACTTTTCAAGAATGTCACCATTTCTAAGGAACAAATAAAATAATCTTTATCATCTAGAGCTACTTTGGTGCCTCCATATTCTGGGAGAAGTACTTTATCTCCAACTCTCATGCTAACTGGTTAAATCTCTCCACCCTTGCCTTTTCAGCCCGGTCCAGCAGTTAGTAGTTAGTTGCAATACTTTTCCTTGAGACTTTTCTGGGTGCATAATGTCTCCTTTGGTTACAGTTTCAGTTGCACGCCTTTGAATGAGCAATCAAAGAGGAGAAGACACTTTCTAAATGCCCGTCCTGCCATGATTCCCCTGCGGAGGTTCATACTCTGCCCTCTCCCCATAGCCACAAGAGGACGCACAGATTGGTCCTTCAGACGTGAACATGGGAGATGTCTTTCATTTTTTCCTTTCAACCCTGACATCCCTACATACTGGAATTTAGAAAACACAGACCTGAGGGATGAACTCCAAACATTTTTTTTTAGGCTATTGATAATCTGGTCTAAATTTTCTATTTCCAAGCTTTCCTACCACTATTTTCACTCTAAATATATCTACTCTCAATTTGTTTGCTACTTATCTATAAAATGCTTTCCCCTCCTCTCCTTTCAAGACCCAAATTATCTTGGTTCCTCCATAAATACAAAACTTTTTTCTGGTACTCTCACTTCTTGCTCTATCTCCCGAAAGGTTTTTATTTTTTTCATTAAATCAGGTGGAATTTGGTTGACTACTTCATTCCGTACACCTCCCAAATGTGCACCACCAATCCAGATCTCTTCCCTAAAACTCCAGGCTTGTATATTCAATTCCCTTTCTGACACTGCCACTGAGATGACTACGTTCACATCTTTCACTCGACATTTTCAAAACAAATCCTCATCTTCTTCCAAAAACTGCTCTACCTGAAGACAACCCATCCTCACTGCTCAGGTAGAAAAGCTTAGAACTATGCTTAATGTCTTTCTCTCACATCCACATCTAATCTGTCTAGGTATCTATCCCATGGGCCTTCAAAATATATTTAAATTCAATCCAACAACTTCTAACCATTTCCGCCACCACCTCCATAGAAGAGCCATGCTCCCCTCGCCTAGGTTACTGAAACAACCACAGAATTGATCTCCATATTTCCACTGTGGACCCTATCTGCAAAGTCTATTTTTATAAAAGAGCCAGAATGATCCTTTTAAAACATTAAGTCATACCATGCCACCTTCCAATGGCTCCCTGTGTCACTCAAAAGAAAAACTCGTGTCTTAACGATGACTCACAAAACCCTATGTAATCTGTCTCCCTCCCTCCATTCTCTCCTACTCATCTCAAGACCCACACTCCTCCCAGCTACCTCCACCTCAGGACACCAGCCAGCTTGCTCTTCTTTAATTTGCCAGCCACCTTAGGCTTTGTTCCAGCTGCTCCCTCTGCATGAAACATGCCTCCCCTCAGGTGATCTTCAGGGCCCATTCCCACACCTCCCTTAAGTATTTTCTCAAATCTCTTTTCAATGAAAATTACTTTGATCCCTTATTTAACATTACAACTTGTCCCTTCACTCTCTCTCCACCTATGACACAACGGAGGTCCCTTTTTCTGAAATTGCCGTACTCTTAAACCACCTGAAGTCATTCTGTTTTCCTGAGAACTAGCACGATCTAGGAAGACTTCCTTATAAATTCCAGATGAGTCGTTTGACCTCAGCATCCCTGCACACTGCAGTCGTGCATGGTTATAGGATACAGACAAGGTTTGTTTTCCTGATTGCATGGAAAAGAGGTGAAAAAAGACGGCTGGAGGTCCAGAATAGGAAGAACGATGGAGAAAGAATGTCATTTCAGTGAGCTAAACACTGACAAACTATATACCACAAGTGTTTGTAATCTCAACCACATCCTGAGGGGCCAGAGAACCTACAAATTGCAACATCCACAAAGCCTACAAATTACAACATGAATTACAGATGAAAAGGAAAGAAATGCTAGCTTTTTCAAAATAGAAATGGGTATTGATAAAGAGCTATCCAGAGAATTCAAAAGCAACCAAGGGTTCCATACGGGG